ATTGGGCTCTAGGTGCCAGGCCTACGTGGAGCCCAGGGTCTTTTTGGTTTTATGCAAAGTGGTCTTGTGCAAAGACCACTTGTGTGGTAGTCCAGTATCACCCTCCAACAGCACAGTTCCAAGTCAAGGCACACATCACAGGACTAGTAAGGCATACACCCTGGGGCACTCAGTCCTCAACCTCACTAGCCACTCTGCCATGTAACTCCCTGTGCAGGACCAGTGAGCCCCACTGAAAGTCAGTGTCAGACTCCACTTGAAGGACCTCTGCTGCACAGAACTATATGTTTGTTCATCTCATCAGAGAGCCACTAAGAACATAGGCTCAGCAGCCAGACTCCCTGGGTTTGAGTCCCAGGCCAGCCAAGAAGCAGGAATGGAACCAAACTTTGGTCTGAAAAGCAAATGTCGCCACAACCAAATGGAAAAGCCAGAAAAAAGCAATTCCTAGGTAAAAAGAATGAAACCCTGGAGCCATCCTCTTGTCATACCCGATGAGAAGTTACTCAAGGTTTCAAATGCTTGTGGTCTTGCCATCCACAAGCACCCAAGACTAGGAGGCCAACAGAATCATGCTGGCAGGAACGGGAACTCAGCCTGTACCTTGGTCAAAGCAACAGAAAAGCACCTGCGTGTGGAAGGCGAAGAAACTATTTTATAGAATGGAAGCCAAGCTTTTGGCTAGTAGTACAAAACACAATTCCTTTGTTTCTTTCCTCTCTTTTCTCTCCCTCTTCCCCCTTGGTACTGGGGATTTGAACTCAGGGCCTTTGCATTGAGCTACATCCCAATCCCTTTTATTATTTTGAGACAGGGTCTTACTAAGTCATTAAGTTGCCCAGGCTGGGTTCAAACTTGTGATTTTCCTGCCTCAGCCTCCCATAGTACACACACACACACACACACACACACGCACACGCACACGCGCGCACACACACTCTAACATTACTAGGCTTCCAAAAAGCTGTTGCTTGGTCCTATGGCCAGGCCGCAGAGGCTAGGCCACAGACTCTGTGGTTACAGCAGTGGTGGCCACATCCCTTCATCTATCTCCTGCTCCCCAGCTCCCAGGCCTAAGACAAGGACTCAGCTACTCTACCCAGCAGGACAACCCTGATGTATCTCTGTCACCCACCCTCGAGTTCTGGAACCCCTGCCTCCTCCTTTGTTTATCTTCTCCCTCTCTGGGTACAAGGAGGTGGTGGATGACACCGGACACCAACAGGTGGGAGAGGAGAAAGAAGAGGAGGAGGAGTGGAAGAAGAGAAAGAAGAAGGCAGGCTGAAAAACCAGAATTAACACAGGTGCAGTGGTGCATGCCTGTAAGCCCAGCTACTGGGGAGGCTATGTCAGGAGGACCACAAATTCTAGGAGCCAGCCTGGGCAACTAAGCAACACCTTGCCTCAATAATAAAAAATAAAGAGTCAGAGATGTAATTCAGTGGTAGCTACATTCCCAGCAACAACATCAAAAAGGGAGAACTGTTTATCTATACAGAAGGTGACTGAGCCATCTGTGGTTTCTCCAGAGAACATTCTCACCATGGCTATAAGCGTTCTGTGGGGAAAGCACATAGTCAGAAGATGCCAGCTATGCAATCCCAACACTCAGCATGCAGTATCGCCCTGTTCTACTGCCTGGTGAGAAAGATAAGAAACTTTTAAGAAGAGGGATAGGATTTTCTTCCTGGGGCCAAACCACCTGGCACATGGAAGGTGTTCCATAAATATTTATAAAATGATTAACTGTTATTATAAACCAACTCTGGGGATACTTTTTTTTTTTTTTTTTGGTTTTTCTCTGGTACCGGGAACTGAACTCATGACCTTGCGCTTGCCAGGCAGGCGCTTTGCCGCTGAGCTAAATCCCCAGCCCCATCTGGGGATACTTTAAGCTGAAACTACCTATAGTTGTTCTAGCTTTTTTCAAAGTCCCTGAACTGGCTCTGTAAAAATTAACTGCCTCTAACACATTATGTAGTGAATGTTTTGAAGTTAATACTAATAATAAATACTCATTGGGCTCTAGGTGCCAGGCCTGAGTGGAGCCCTCACACAGGGATGTGGGTGTATACACACACACGTACTTCTCTATTCACACACTGTACACACAGGTGCTTATACACACACATACACGAATGTACACACATGTATGTGCATGGCTGTACATACAGCAACACTGTGATTATATTTTATATAATCAATGCTGTGATTATATAAACATATTTCCTGGCATTATATTTTTTATAGATGACAAAACTGAAACTTTTCCCAAAGACATGCAGCTAGTAAAACACCTGCAGTAAAACACAGAAAAGCAATAGGCCTGAGAAACGTTCCACCATCTATTAGGTTCCACTAGCAATTATTAATTCAATAAGGAATGAATATTTAGCCAAAAAATATTTCAATTTTTTTTTAAAAAGGACACTTACTGATTCAAAGAAAATACATAAAACTTTATTTGTAGAGTAACTGCAATCTGTTTCAAATTAACCACAATTTTTAGATTTAAAAAGGCACAAGCATAAACCTGAAACTTAAAACATTCACTATAAACAAAAAATCTTTAGGACTCCAGCCATCTCAGGCCCCTTTCTGGGTGCCTGGGGCTCCTCATATTTGTCAGTCTTGACTGGCCACATGGGGTAACCCAGCTACACAGCCCTTTCATGGCTTTCAAGGTCCCCTTCCTACCCCTGTGCATCTGCCCATCTGGGCCCAACACTTCCCTCCTGAACTAGAGGTATTCCCAATCACCCTTGAGAAGGGTCAATCTAGGAAAACATAAACTTTGCTGAGGGACTAAGTTTTACTCCTTTCTGAATTCTTAGGGTGCCTAATCTTGCATACAGAAATTCCACAGACACTACACAGAGAATTTCCTCTCTCCCAGATCAAAAATGGACAGGGATGTTTTCATTAGGAATTAACATACATGACACAACACCAGCATGAAGACAACCAGCCTAGCCTACCCTGCAGGATGCCCTGGGGCAAGGCCCTGGTCCTCAATGGCCCAGTGGCAGGAGAGGACCACACTGTGACCACAGGAAAGGGATGCCTTCCCTCCTGATAAACCAATTTTTTTTTTAACCCTAGTGAGCAAAGTTCTAATTAAGTAACCTTCATTTTCACATACCCAAAGTCTGAAAGCACCAGCCATAGGGTAGGAGTCTGCAAGTGGTTCACCCAACACTTCCTGGAAACTCCCACCATCAGACTCCCCACAGTGAAGGATGCCAAGTGGGTGCCAGCCTTGACCACCAGCACAGGCTGGGCCAGCACAACACAGATGATACCTTCATTCTTTCTAGGTTCAACACAGGGTCCCCTTCTCCATGGAAGACAAAGTCTAAAGGTAGAATCAGAAAAGAAATGCCCCAATGGCATTTACCAGCTGGCTGCTTCCCACTCAGCTTCTTCTGTTTCTCGGGATTAGGAAAAGGTAAAGATGTAAAGTGTAAGGCTAGGTTTCCTTGACTAACTGATATGGCCTTCAACACAAGCCATGTGAGCTAGTCCCTAGTTTCTGTAGAACAAGGCCAGCTTAGGTGCCACTATGGGGACAGGGTTCAGTTCTGTCAACATCTGTCAACCCAGGGTGAGGGGTTAGCTAGGATGGATAGCCAGGGAGGGAATACATCTTGCTGTTACTAGGCAAGAACTCTAGACTCTGAGGAAGCGCAGGAAGCCAGCTCTCTGCTCCATCATCTTTGTAGTAAGCACGACAGACTATGCTTCTTTATCTTCTGTCTGGGTCCTTCTGGTTTGCTATGGAAATCCCTGGATGCTAAGGTCACCAAGGGAAGGGTGGTAAGAAAGTACAACAGCCAGCTAATGGGATGGTACTCATGGCTAAGAGCTGTCCACAAGATGGTCATGAAGGGAGTTGACTGAGGAAACAGTCAAGCTGAGTGTCAAGGCTGACAGCCAAGGAAACCACCACTCCCTCCAGCAGAGCAAAAGGGGAGGTTCTGTCCTGGGTCCCTAGCTTTCTCCTGTCTTTACTCATGGCAAAAAAATCCCCCAAAAGCCACACAGAGGACAGCCACCCCAAGAACCAAGGACTCCTATCTGCATTTTGTGTTTAATAAAACTTTTCAAGAATATTGTATCACAAGTTGGGGCATCTGCTCCAGAAAGTGGCTTTTCTTGCAGAGCTGTTCAACTGTCCTACCTGGAAAAATTGAGAGCCATACTTAAGTGGCCTATGGCAGCTGCAACCCACTCATGTCCCAGTGGGGTGGGTGGGAGCCCCAGGGTACAAGATCTTGGCAGGCCAAATCAGCAGTGCCCCAGACAATTCCTACACCTGCACTCCTCTCTGGAGCTCTTTCAGTTCTTTTCATTTCTTACTAAATCTATAACAAGAACTGAAGGAAACAAGGGACCTCGAAGATAGACTAGAAGGATGCTGTTCTAGCTGCTCTAAGTACTGGCCTCCCCACACATATAAGAAAATTCAAGAGCAATGAAGAGCACATTCCCAGTGCCCTTTACAGCATATTTCAAGAAACAGAGGCATTTAAAAGGCCAAAGCAGATGAAATGTCTGTTTTACAAGAAATACTGGCAAGATTCCAACCTTGGACACATATATCTCAGACACTCTGCTACCCAGCACTGGGAAAGCTGGCCTGAGATCCCAGGAACCACAGTGTCTCTTAAGATCTAAGAGGCCACTGGCTGGGATGAGCCTGCAGGTCTAACATATCTGCACATCTGGCCATATGCTCTCATATACTCAACTTGGTCATCATCTGCATATGGAATTAGCTAGTGCTTTGAAATTTCTGGACAACCTATCAACTATGATGTCTCCATAGCCTATGTGGGGACATGCAGTCTGCTCTGATAGGGCTGGGACAACAGAAGAAAAAAGCAGGCAATTTGCTCTGCCTTTGTCTGATGAAATACAAAATGCTTATAACACACGTTCTGAATATGCCCCAGGACACCAAGACCCCTCAAAGAGCTTGCCATGGAGCTACACCTCACCTCTGGAGTGTTCTTCTTGAATTCTCGGCTCTGCTCAATGAGCCGCTTTCTGGACTGCTCGCTCTCATCTTGCCGGTTTGCCAATACTGTTGCGGTGGCATCGAGTTCTCTCTGTGAAGAGACACAAAAAGGATAAATAAGATTGTAATTACACATTTTGCCAGGGGGATCATGTGTGCGTTTGAATAGAATTCTGGGGAGAGCCCTGGGACTCCAGAGGTTAATAAGCTTGGGCAGGGGCCAGGGATATACCTCAGTAGCACAAGCGCCTACCTGGCAAATGCAAGGTCCTAACTTCCATTCCCAATACCAAAAAAAAAAAAAAAAAAATCTTAGGCAGAGAAGGGTAAAAAAAAAAAAAAAAAAATCTTAGGCAGAGAAGGGTTGAAGATGAGGGCAAGGGCAGCAAGTACAATTCATCCACCACTCCACCCGCACCCCATAGGGACTGGCCAGAAGAAGCCGAACTTGCTCAGTTTGCCAGGTTATGCACTGCGCACACTATACAAATGACTACGTATAACACAAATGCAGAAACAGTCCCCTACTAAAACCACCGGCCAGTGCCCCCATGACATCCTTCCTGGAGTTGCTCTCTATCTGTTCTTGGCAGTGTCTCTCCAGCCATTCTCCTAGTTATGGTTTCCTGCATAACATGAGCATTCTGTCTATCCTACCAGAATGTAGGCCTGGGACTTTAGACAACCACAAATATTTATTGCAAGCTCACTTTAGGTTAGGCATCATGCTCAGGACCATAAACCTGTTATTATTAGTTTTGCAAGAGAGACCTTTAAAAGGCAAATACCAAGAATAATCATTTCCAGTATCTTGTAAATTTTTGGAAGCACAGCACCTGGCAGAGCAGTGAGTCTCAAAAAAGTCTAACTTGCCCTGGACTCTGAAGACCACCAGGGCTAGGTCCCTAGAGGAGGACCTGCCAGAATGGTAGGCTCTGAACTCTGCTGTACATATTAACTGACACTCTCAGTAGCTTTGGAGATTCCAGGATGAGCTGCCAGAAGGAGCTGTTCCAAAGTAGCCTGTGGCAGATGGGCCCAGGATGGTGCTCCAGGCTCATGGCAGGAGCACAGGCCACGTGGTAATCACCGCCAACAGGCCTGATATCTCACTGAGTGGCTTCAGTTACTGAGGACATCAGTTCATTTCACTTAGGACTCCATGTTGGTGTCCCTATGGCAGGCCCTAACACCCTGCAATGGAGCAGAGCAAAGGCCCAGTAAATAGAAGCTGAAAGGCCAGGGACATCCTGACACCCAGGGTGCAGGTTGGAGTCCTTCCCCACCCACTGCCTTAAGTGACACTGGCTTCCTCTGTGGTGGAAACAACCCAATGGGCCTGAAAGCCCTCCTGGGAAACGATTCACTGGTACCACTTTGGGGTGGCCCACAGCCAGACAAGATGACAGAGAGCTGGAACAAACATCCAGTGTGCTGTCAACTTAGAAATCATAGACAGTTTAAAATGGGGGAGGGAGCAAGGGACTGGAGGGGAAGAGATGCCACCACACCACACCACACTCTTTTAGTATTTCTGGCATAAAAGCAAATCTTGAGCAAACAAGTCCAAAAGAATAACGTGGGCTGGCATTCAAGAACAGATGTCAAAGCTATTGCAGAAAAGAGGGAAACACTGAACATTTTGATAGACCATATTTGAAACACATCCCAGTTAAGAGAAGGCAGGGGAAAAAGAGCAACCGCCATCCATGTGGGATAGAGAGAGAAGAGGGAGCAGCCACAGATAAGCAGAAGGCTTTAAAAAATATAAACAATCTGGTGAGGAGGACTTAGACATCTATATTTAAGCAGCAGCAGAAGAAGTTATAAAAGGAGACTTCAAGAAGGAAGGAAAGAAGCCAATATTGAAATATGACAAAAACAAAAAAAAGTTGATGTTTCATTCCAAGCACACACAGACATAGAGAACTTGGAGAAAAACAAAACGAGCTCTGACTGCTTTCAACGAGGACCTTGCTGCCTCCACAGCTCAGAGGCCTAGGACAGGGCCACCAATCAGTGGCATCTGCTGGCTTCTTCAAGCAAGTGGGACACTGGACGTTAGGACCCACAGGTGATTTAGGGGAGGGATTTGAGACTTCCTACTTAGCAAAGAGAGTGGTGGAAAGGTTTTCAGGGACATCATAAGAGCACAAGGTCTGCAGGACCCACCGTTGCCCCTGGTCCCCATCTGTCCCTCTGGCTCTGAGGTCTGTCCCACACAGATGGGTCAGGAAGCCTGAGCTGAACAGGTGGCCCGGTGGAGGTAAACCCACCTTGATCATGGCGCCACAGAGCCAGCACACCTGAGGCCACTTGCTGCTGGCAGTCGGGGACTCTGCAGGGGTCCACTGTACTCCATGCCCTATGCTTGCAGACATATGCAAGCCGACATGAGGAGCCAACAGGGGTCTCCAAATTTAACACCATGCTGCCACCCGCCACCACAGAAACAGATTGGCACAGCAAGGAGGAGAGACTGAGCTTCCACTGATCTATTGCATTACCACCACCCAGATGGGACTGGTCAGATTTAAGGCTCAGACTCTGACCAAGTCCTTTAAAAGCAAAACCACCACCAAATCCTTTTGAAAGAAACCAAAGAGTTCCTTTCTCAGGCTGTGGGGTCAATGCAGAGGGAGGAGATGGCTATTAAACATAAGCCAAATAATGTCTTATCATCCACAAAGCCTACCTGTACTCAGAAGTGTCAGATACAATGACACACTAACAAGGGAATCTAATGCGTTGAGGGGAAGGGGAGGGGAGCCTGAAATACGAAATCCGCAGCCTGTGAGTCATGGGTCACATGTAAACAGGAGCACAGATAGTCCCCACATCTGAAAGGCATTAAGTCACAAAGAGTAAAAAGCTGGAACCAACCTAAAATGTCCAGCAAATAGCATATGTGACATGGCTACTCAAAGGTCATTCTGAAGTGGTTTAAAAAAAATACATGTACTATATTGGACGAGCTAGATATCAAGACCTATGCATGCAAAGATCAAGCACCCAGGGAAACTTTGCAAGATCCTGTCTCAAAATAACAGAAAGAGCTGGGGCTGTAGCTCAGTGATAGAACATCCTTGAGTTCAATCCCCAATACTGGCAATAAATACATAAATAAATAAAACAATACAAACAAACAACAATAGAAACCAAAGACAAGTACCAGGTAATGTTACCACTGCTCAAAAGATTATCTCTATGTATGCCAGCACAAGCTCCAATGATCTCCAGAGAGATATACAAGAAAACCGCAACTGTGTTTCCCCCTCGGAGGAACAGAGAGGAGGTGACTTACTCTGCAGTATGTGTCTTTTGACTAATTTTGCTACATGCCCATTATTAGCTAGTTGGAAAAATGACACTATATATAAATTTTAAAATCCTGCTAGCTTGATGTGGTGACACATACCTATTGTCCCATCTATCTGAGAGGCTGAGGCAGGAGTATCACTTGAGACCAGTAACTGAAGGCTAGCCTGGGCAACATAAACATAGCAAGAAGATTTTGTGTATGTGTGTGCCAGGAATTGAACTCAGGACCTTGTGCTTGGGCTTACCAGGCAGGCACTGTGCTGCTGAGCTATATCCCTGGCCCAAGATGCTGTTTTAAAAACATAAAAACGTGAGGCAGGAGGAGTGCCATGAGTTCAAGGCCAGCCTGGGCTACATAGTGAGTTCAAAGTCACTCTGAACTATACAGTGAGACCCTGTCTCAAAAAAAGTAAAATTAAATTAAATAAAAACAAAAACTCTGCTCATGTGAAAGTATACATACATGGGTACCTATAGAAATACACTTTACATGATATGTCCAAGACACAAGCCTCTTTTGGTTCCAGTCTCAAGGTCTTCCTGCAGAGGGCAGAGGCCTGGAGTGGACAGTCTTCATTCTGATGATTCAAAAAGTGGGGTGTGGGCTGCAGTGTAGCTCATTGGTAGAATTCTTGCCTGGCATGTGCAAGGCCTTGGGCTCCATCCCACACACACACACAAAAGTGAGGTGAGTACATATTATGTCAAAACAACAGCTGTTTCTTGTCCAATGTCCAGCCCACTGGCCAGTTTCAGGTTCTGGGCTGGCGGGGGTGGGGGGTGGCGGGTACACCAGTGATTATAGCCAATCACAGCAACAACACCGGGCCCAGCCAGAATCTTCCAGGGCAGAGCAGGCGGGCACCAGACTCCACAGTCCAGGTCATGGCAAGGTGGTAAGGCTGGCAGCAAACCCACCAACTCTGAACTTGGCATTTCTAACAAGGTCAAAAGAACTGGAAACATTACAGAGAAAATATCTGACTAGGACAGGTGCCTAGTGCCGAAAGGGTGGGTTTTGGTTCAGTGTAGTCATTGGATGGTTGATGTCAGGCAGAAAGCCAAGGTCCAATGGAAGACCTTGGTTCTGGAACCACATGGCCCCTGGGCAGCCCTGTGGGTAGGTCTACCATACACCCCAGCACTTGCTGGCCACGTTGGTCCAAGTGTGGACTCCATCAATGTTGCTCTCTTCATTCCTCAAGGCTACCCCACCAAACGGGGCTCCAGCAATCTCTGCAGTCCCTTTTCTCCATTTCTGACAGATCTCAAAGGGCCCAGATCCTAACAGTCTACATTTCCCTCTGCTGGGACTCAAGCCTCTCAGCAAAGTATTAAAGATGCATTCAAACAAGATAAGACAAAAACTATCATGTGTCAAACTGTTTAAAATAAATTGAGGAAAATGTTTTTAAAATTAGTCCCTTAATGTCAACAATCAGTCTACAACTGGACACCTTAAACCACATGTCAGGTATGTGTCGTAACCAGGGTAACCTAAGGTGGTCTCTCCCTCTCCC